CACGATGCGGCAAGTGTTGGGCCAAGCCGCGGTGCAGGAGGCCTAGCGGCCGAGGGCCGTGGCAAGGGGCGAGCTAAGCGAGCCGCGGACGCGCGGGTGGTCGATGCCTCGCTCCTCGCCCCTGGGCTCGCTCGGGCCGTCGACGGACGGAGCGCAGCCCCGAGTGGGGCCCTGGCCACGCGGCAGGCTGGCGTGGGCGGCGAGCACTGCCTGGGTCGGAGCGGCGGCGACAGTGCCAAGGGCCGCGGCAAGGGGCGGGGAGGACGAGCCGCGGACGCGCGGGTGGTCGTTGCCTCGTCCCACGTCCAGCCTCCCGCTCGAGACGTCGACGGACGTAGCGCCCCGAGCGGGAAGGCAGCTGCGGCCCAGGCGAGCCCGCAGCCGCTCGACCCCAGGCACAGACGTGATGCTGCCCAGGAGGGGCCAGGCCATGGCGAGAGTGGCCTTGCGGCCCAAGGCGGTGGCAAGGGGCGTGCTAGGCGAGCCGCGGACGCGCGGGTGGTCGATGCCTCGCCTCACGCCCCAGGGCCCACTCGGGCCGTCGACGGACGGAGCGCAGCCCCGAGGGGGACCGATGCCACGGAGCAGGCTGGCCACAAGGGCAGCATCGTGACGCTGAATTGCTCGTCCGAGAAGCAGCTGCTCGAGTACATGGTGCACTGCAGTCACGCAGTGGTCGCGGTGCAGGAACATCACGTTGCTCATGATGACCTGGCAGACGCACAACATCGGTTGCTGGGCGCGGGCTGGCAAGGCATATGGGCAGCGGCCAACCACACAGTCAACGGAGGCACGCAGGCAGGGCTAGCAGTTTTGGCCAGGCCGAACGTCATGATTACGCGCGGGCCGTGCATGAACGGACAGACCGTACTGGCGGGCGGTCGAGCTTTGCCCGCTCAAGTACATTGGGGAGTCCCTGGAGGAGTGGTACTGGTCTCAGTGTATCTTTATGTCATGCAGGCTACGATTGGATTGTGGCAGGAGATTTCAACATCGAAGCATCCCAGTTCGGCGATATGCGATGGCTACACGGGCTAGGTGGTATGCTTCGGGCTCCAGCGGCGACCACATGCAGACAGGCTATGCTTGGTAGTTGCATCGACTATTTCCTCACGTCGTCTAAGTTGATGACACGAGTAGAGCAGCCGCGTGTTCAGGAGGCGGCAACCACGTTTCCGCACTTGCCAGTGTATATGCATATCAGTGGCAAGGACATCCAGTTGTTTCATCGTGAGCTGCGTGGGCCGCGTGCCGTGCCCAAACAGCCGAAGCCAGGGTGCGCGAGGTTTCCATTGTGTTGGCACGGAGTGGCACGTACTATAGGTGCCGCGTGTGACGACAGCAGCCTGCAGGTGGCATGGGATGCTGTGCTGAGCCAAGTTGAATTAGAGCTGCTTGCCAGACATGATGTCGTTGGCACAAAGGCTGAGCCATTCGTTGGAGCATGTGGCCCAGTAGAGTTTGAGATTGTCCAGCTGCAGTGGCAATCACAGCAGAAGCGTTCATACTTGTCAAAACCAGCCAATGCGTGGTGCGTTGCAGCCAGATGGGCGCGACACATGCGTAGGGCGAAAGAAGCTATCATGAATGTCACTGCGAAGGTAAGTCTGCAGCAAGTGACAGGGGCGGCAGACATGGCCCACCTGCACAAGCTGTCGAGTTTGACGATTGAGCTAGGCCGCTTTTTGGCGAAGGTGCTGACTGAGACGGCCGTGCTCAGCGAACTCGACAGCGGGGCGTCTGACTTGTTTCTGTTGGGAATGGAGTTCCTTGTTCACACAGAAGTAGATACAGTGCTGGATGCAATCGAGGCCAAAGCAACTGAGCTTACGGAGGCACACAGTCAGAAGACCGCCAAAGCCTGGAGGGACTGGGCGGCAGCCAGCTTTACTAACGGCGCGCGCTTCGCGCATAGGCACACGAAAGGGAGAGCGTTGCAGGAAGTGGTTAATGCTAATGTGACCGCTCGCACGCCCTCCCAGCCGTATCAGCTTGCCGATAAGGCCATGAGGGAATGGGAAGAGATTTGGTCGATGCACGATGCCGCAGTCCCTCAGTTGCCAGCAGAGGCGACGGACTGGGAAGAGCTCCCACCTTTGACCTTGCAGGACTTGCAACGCGCCATTCTTCAGTTCCCATGGGCGACGGGAGTCGGCCAGTTCAGTTTTGCTCCTCGCAGTTTAATCTTTCTGAGCAGCCCAGGCCTGGAGGCCTCAGCGAAGCTGTTCATGAAGTGTGACAGCCTCCTGATCTGGCCATCGGACAGACTGCTGACGCAGCTCGTTCGCCTCACCAAGGAGCCGGGAGGATGTAGGCTGATAGCGCTCTTGAACACGCTCCTGAGAGTCTGGGGCAGGGCCCGCAGGCCCATCACGGCCGCCTGGGAGTTTGAGCATAACCTGGATTGTTTCTGGGGGACGGGAGCTGGTAGGTCGAGCTCGGACAGCGCGTTTTCTCTGAATCTTGAGGCTGAGATTGCGCACGAGTTAGGAGAGGACAGCCTCACAGTTTTTATCGATATGTTGAAATGCTATGAGACTGTCATTTTGCAGAGCCTGCTTCGCGAGGCCCAGCTGAATCGTTTCCCGATGAGATTAGCGTGGATGACGATTCAAACGTATCTGCAACCTCGTTGCCTGCGTGCTTTTGCCTCCCTGTCCGTACCAGTGCAGTCTAATCAGGGTATCCTAGCAGGCTGCTCCTTGGCCACTACAATGCTGAGGGTCCTGCTGCATAGAAGCTTGCAGGATTGCATGACTATATACCCCACGGTCAAGCCGCGTGCGCTGATCGACGATGTTAGCTTCCACTGGTCAGGAGAGCGTGCCAGGGAGGGAGAGAGCGTCGGCCAGGCAAGAGACTTGGCCAATGCAGTACACAGCTTTTGCCTCAGTGTGAGGCCGCTCGGGTTAGTCGTCCAGCCGAGCAAGTCAGGTTTTGTTGCGAACACGAGCCGAGGCCGAGATAGTTTTGCTCGATTGGTTGCGCCTCTTCGTATGCGAGCGAAGCGAGCGATGCGTAATCTAGGTCACGAGATGCACGGCACCAGAGTCTTGCGTGTGCAAGAAAAGATGCGTCTTAAGAATCTCAAGGCTCGTAGGCGCAAGGTGTGGGGCCTGAAGCACGCCGCTGGGGAGGCCGTGACATCCCTGTGGAGGACGGGGCTACTCCCAGCTGGCGGCCACGGCGCTGGAGTGCCAGGGATATCTGACACAGCGATTCGCGAGCTTCGGACGTATGCTGGAGGCATGTGCGGGGCCAAGCCCAAGGCGTCGCCCACCCTGTTTTTAGCCACACAGCGGGACGACAGGTTCGACCCTATGTTTGATGCGACGGTTCCGTTGGTTGTCAGGTTTGCCTCGTTCATCTGGGATAATAGGGTCGCGCCTGGACGGCCCCGCAGAGCCTGGGAAGCGGTCAAGGCGAAGCTTGACCAACGCATCTCGTGGTCCAGAGCCCGTGGCCCCATCGCCTCTGTTTGGGTCACGCTTCTGCGCGTGGGTTGGACGATGTTTTCTCCAACAGTGCTTGTGGACGATCGAGGTCGCCACGTCGATTTAGTCAGGCAGTGTCCAGGTGATGTGAACGCTTTCCTGGAGGAAAGCATTCGCCGCTGGCAAGTAGATAGGATCCTGCAGCACCTGCCCAACAGCCTTGGAGAGAGCTGCTGGAGGAGGGGAATGAGGAAAGCAGTGTTTGCTGTAAGGGACGTTGCGAGGCGAGGCGCCTTGCGGACGCTCTGGTCGGCAGGGGTTTGGACCCCCGAGAGGCTGCACAGCATTGGGCTCCGCAATTCCCCGCAGTGTTTTGTATGCAAGCAGGCAACAAGCAATGAGCCCCACCAATGGTTTGAGTGCGACGCCATGCTAGACGGGTTGGACGTGCCTGTTCCAGATTACGTCCTCGAGCTGAGGAAGAATATCAAGGCCAGGAATAATTCGCAATCTGGAGCGGATCAATTTTATCTCAGCTTCGGACTGCCGCCCGAGCCACCAGCACTGTCGCCCCCGAGTGATGAATATCCTGTGTTGGGATGGGGGGACTGGCGTGGGCGATGGGGGCGGAGGGTGTACACCGACGGAAGCGGCCAAGCGTCGTCGATCCCAGAGCTGGCCCGATGCGGCTGGTCTGTGGTCGAGGTCGACGAGGCTGGCAACGTGTTGCGTGCAATTTTTGGCGCGCTACCAGGAGCTGTGCAGACAGTGCCACGTGCGGAGCACTACGCAGCGCTCAAAGCAGTAGAAGTTGCGCAACAGTCTGCTATCATTGTGTCCGATCACCTGAATCTGGTGCGTGAAGGGTGTGCCTGGTCGGCGGCCGCTGCCTCTTCTAGTGGCCGCCACGCGGCCGTGTGGGAGAAAATACGTCGGCACTGTCCTGAGGCTCCTCCTACCTTCGAGTGGGTCCCGGCGCACAGAGAGCTCTCGGAGGTTTTGGAGGCCCCCGAGTGTGACTTTGTCCATTTCGTTGCTAACGAGTGGGCTGACTTTTTTGCCAAGCGTGGGGCCCAGGTGCATTCAACTGGCCAGACCATGCAGGATTATTTTAAGCAGGCCATGCAGGCGGCCAAAGATCACTCGCAGGTTTTTGCCTGGATGGCCCAAGCGGTCGCCAAAAAGAAGGTTGAGCTCCAACCTTGGGAAGTCGTACCGTCTCAGGCTTGCCGAGACGGCGCCGCCCCACAGGTGGTGCTTGACACGCATGAGTTTCGTTTCTGTGAGAGGCTATCTGAACACAGGTGCCTGAAGTGCAACAGATTTGCTAGGACGACCGAATCCTTAAAGGCCCTTCGAGCGAAGCGGTGCGAGCCCACGGACCTTGCGAGAGCGATGGCGACGCGTTATTTTGCCCTCACCCCCGAAATTTATCGGCACGCCTCGCGCGCGGTGGACGTCGCCGCGCGTGCTGCTGGCCTTGATGAAGGCCCAGGGCCCTCTGGAGGCCCATGCGAGGGTGGTGGAGTGGGGGCTGACGTCGTCGCCGTCGGGGTCGATCGGGAGGTGGAATTGTGCTCGGAGCTCGGCCACGGGATGGAGCGATTTGGCTCCACGGTCATCTGCCTCGGTTGCGGGGCGTTTAGTGTGGCTGGAGGCCGCAATCGGAAGCTGCGTGCCCAGTGCAGGGGTCATTCGGACGTAGCTTCTACGCGTGCGAACGAGGAGATGCAGATCTCACGTGCGATGCGCGGGCTGCACCCCAGGTCGGGGGACCCTTGCCCATGACGACCTCGACGCCAGGTCCCTTCTGTCGGCTATCCGACGTGGTGGGGACGGTGCTGTCGAGGTCAAGCCGCACGGTGCGATGGCTCTTTGCCTCGCCGTGCGGCTCATCACTTTCTTCCCGCTGAAGCGGGTCCGTACGCTCGGACTCGCCCTTCATCGCTCGCTACCTCCTCCTCCTCCTCGTCCTCCTCTGCCTCCTCCTCCCCGTTCTCTCGCGACGCCCCGCGTCCTCCTCCTCCTCCTCCTGCTCCTCCTCCTCCTCCTCCTCCTCCTCCTGCTCCTGCTCCTCCTCCTCCTCCTTCTCCTTCTCCTTCTCCTTCTCCTTCTCCTTCTCCTTCTCTTCATCATTCGCTTTATCCTCCTCCTCCACCTCCTCCTCCCCCTCCTCCTCCTCTTCGGTGACAGGCCCAGGTGCCCACCCCCAGTCTGCTGGCATCGGGGCAGAAAGAGAGAGAGAGAGAGAAGAGAGAGAGAGAGAAGACGCGGGGCGCCGAGAGAGAATGATGCTGCCCCGCTCGGCCGCGCGGCCCCCGTCTTGGCATCGCTCGGACGTGCGTATTTCTTTCCTCGGCGAGGACCATCGGGGAGCACGTGGGGCCATCGTGCGAAAAGCACCGAAGAAGAAACACAACAACGGCGTAAACATAAGCTTTAGGCGTCTCGCGCGGATTTCTTGGATCCGCGCTGGGCTCCCCCATCGGCGCCTCCAACGCTGCCCCTGGCGCACTGCGCGCACCAGGGAGGGGTGGCCGACCGCAGATCCAAGAAATCCGCGAGGAGCGCCAAAGGTTTATGTTTATGCCGTCCTCTCTGCTTCCAAGATGAGCGCACGACGTCGAACAGCTCACGGGACATGGACGTCCGAGCGATGGCGGGTCGCCCCCCGCGGGCGCGCCCGCGACGAGCCAGCTCCCGCGCGGAGCGCTGCGCGCCGGCCTTCGGCTGCAGCAGGGCACGCTCCAGCCAGCTGCGCTCCAGAGTTCCCCGCGGGCGGCGCGCGGGGCCGGAGGCCATTCGCCAACGACGACGAAGACGACGACGATGACGACGGCGACGACGACCACCACGACCACGACGACCACCACGACCACCACGACCACAACGACCACCACGACCACGACATCGACGATGTGGTCGTCGTGGCCGCCCGACGGTCTGTCGGAAATACCCTGCTTGCCTCCAGGGTGCCCTGGGTTTCTTGGGCATCGACGGTTCTACGATGGAAAACGTGACGTCCCCGGACCAAAAATCCATGGGCGTCTTGGGGTCTCAGGGTTGGGTTTCTTGTGGAAGGTTCCTTGTGGTCGAGCTCCGACTGTAACGAGGGGGGCGATGAATGAGGGGGGGCAGCGAGGGCTGCCGAAAAAGGCCCCCCAGAGGGGGCCTTTAGGGCCGGAGAATGTCACCCTCCTCCCCTCCATTGGTCGCCCCACTGGCTCCAGTCTGGGGCTCTGCGCATGGGCGCGATGTGCTGGTCTCGCGGGCGCACCGCGTGGGTTGTCGACGCTGCAGCGGCGCGCAGGCAGCTCGCTGCTCCCAGGGCCCTGCCGGCGCAGGCCCAGTCTGAGAGCGCGTGCTCCGAGTTGTTGAATACGGTCGGACCGAGGTAGAAGATCGCGGTCGGTGCGGGGAGGGTATCCTAATGTTCTTCGCGCTTGTTGGATGCTCCTGTGCATCCTGGGGGAGGGCGCCCTCGAATGTTCTTCAGTTTGGCCGGCGGCGGGCCCCGTGTTCTTGAAGGAGGTTTTTCTGTCTTAGGTCCCGCCGCATCCCCCCCCATGCTGCCCCGTCCGACGGCCCATTCCTGCGCTGGCCCTTCCCCGCGGCCGCTCGCTCGCAACCAGCGGCGCCAGGCGCGGCGTGCCTCGCCTGCGCGCGCAGGCAACCACGGCGGAGAAGCTCGCCGTCCCCTGTCGGGCGTTGCCCTCGTTGTGGCCCTGGCCCGGGGTGCCTGGCAGCCCTCCGCGCTCCACTTTTGCCCGAGACCTCTCGGGATCGCCGGGGAGCGCCGGGAAGCGCCGAAGAGCGCCGAAGAGCGCTTGGGAGCGCCTGGGAGCGCCGGGGAGCGCCTGCCCCCGGGGGCCTCCTGGGCCTCGTGATGGGGTGCTCTGCGGAAGGGCCTGCCTGGAGCTCGCGGGGGTGGCGCTCCTAGCAGCACCCGACCGTGGCCCCGGCCGCGCCGCTGGAGCCCGAGGGCAGCGCCGAAGGGGCGCTGGAGCCCTGCGCGGAGCTGCGGGCCGCTGCGGGCCACCTGCGACGCCTGCGGCGCCCGGCGGCGCGGTGCCGTACCGCGCGGTGGTTGCGCGGGGCAAAGAGGATGTGCGCTGCGCCGCACTGGTGCGCGCATGCGCACGTTCGGGCGAGCGCTGCACGGATGTCGCGGTGTGGTCATATCATCAGGGACGGCCGGGGGGGATGGCTAGGGCCTAGGTGGGGGTGGTATCATGGTTGGGGGCATGATATCTCCCCAGGTATCATGGCTGGGGGCACGATGTCTCCACAGGTATCATGGCTGGGGGCATGATATCTCCCCTGATCTCATGGCGCCTCTTCTTACTTCAGTGCGTCCCCGCCCTCCCCCTTGGGCCGCGCACGCGCCGCCGGCCGCGATTTGCCCCCCCCCCTCTCTTGGACGCCCCCCTCTTGGGCGCCCCCGATCTCAACCAAGTCGGTGGACCCGCTTCCCCCATTCCCTTCTCGCGCGGGCGAGGAGTACCTCGCTGATCATTTAGTAAGGATGCGTTCACGATGCGGACGCTTTGGCTGCTTTGCTGTAGCTCAGTCGACTCCAATTTTTCGTCCATTTGTTGACATCCCTCTCCCTCCTGCCTTTTGATGTTTGTTCCTCCTTTAACGTTTCCTCCTCCGCCTCCTAAACCTCTTATAGTGACCATCGTTATCACATGTTATCAAGATAATGGCTTTCACCGTGCCTGGGTTGTGGGCAAGGGGCCTCTTGGGTGCTCATTCTAATCTCTGGTATTCGGGATGTCTCTCGGGGACTTATTGGAGGCCCCTTCGGGGGCATTTGGGGGCCTGTTGGCGGCCTTCTGAAGACCACTGGCGGGGGCCTATTGAGGGGCTCTTGGGGCAGCTTTCGGGGCACATTGGGGTATAGTGGGGGCAATCTGCGGCGGACAGGCCCCCAATGTCAGTTCGAGCTCCCTGAAAAGAAAACGAGCCTCCTCTCACTAGCTAGCTAGCTTCTAAGCCTTACTAAAGCCGAGCGCTAGCTGCATCTCGAGGCGCTCAGCTGCCTCTGTCAGTACTGCTTCGTCTTGAGCTGATAGCGAGCTTTCGATCAGCTGCAAGGTGCCGAGCTGGAGCGTAGCGAGTTCCCTCTTAGGCCTTCTTTGGGGACCTCCTGGGCAGTCTTGAGGCCCTCTGGGGCCGTCATCGGACCCTCTCGGGGGCCTCGTGGGCCGCATTCGGGCGTTATCGGTGACCTCTTGGGCCGATTCGGAGCCCTGCAAACATGGGAAGGCGAGACCGCTAAAACACGCCAACTATTTGAGGACAATCAATCATTGTCGCCTCTTGGGTCCTCTTGGAGTCCTCTTGGGGCGTCTCGGAGGCATCTTGGGCCGTCTCGGGGCGCTCTGGTGCCGTTTCGGGGCCTCTTGGACCGTCTTGTGGTCCTCCTGGCACCCTCTGAATCATCTTGGGACGTTCGGACCTCGGGAAAATCTCACGCGGCTCCGCTCAGTGCCTACGGCACGTCGGCAGATGTTCTCTCGGTTGTTCGTCCCTCCGTTTCTTGGGCGAAGACGTCAGAGCTGCTGCTCGCCAAAGAAGATCCACGCGCGCCGCTTTACTGTTTGTTTCGTTGCGTGCCAGATTGTTCGTGTGCGTTTCTGTGTGTGTGTGTGTGCGTGTGTGTGTGTGTGTGTCTGTCTGTCTGTCTGTCTGTCTGTCTGTCTGTCTGTCTGTCTGTCTGTCTGTCTGTCTGTCTGTCTGTCTGTCTCTCTGTCTGTCTCTCTGTCTGTCTGTCTTTCTGTCTGTCTGTCTGTCTGTCTGTCTGTCTGTCTGTCTGTCTGTCTGTCTGTCTGTGTGTGTGTGTGTTTGTGTGTGGCGGGTTTATTGTTTATGTGGTGGGTTTACTGTTCGTTTCTGGTGGCTGTTGGTTTCCTTTCGACGCGCGACTCCTCTCACAGGGGAGGGGCGCACGTCGAACGAAGAGGGGTCGAGGGACGAGGTCGCGGAAGGCGGCAGACGAGCGGGAGGCGGAGGCGCAGGAGGAGGGCAAGCTTGGTTCCTCGACCTGTGCAGAGGCCGGGGGGAGAGGGGGGGCGTCGCGTGCCCCTGTCCCCGATGCTCCACCTCCTCCTCCTCCTCCGAGGTCCTCGTCCTCTTCCTCCTCCTCCTCCTCCCGCTCCCACGCCGCGTCCCTAGTGCAGCAGTCTCCCCCCTTTGTCGCTCCACCCTGTCGTCGTCGTCGTCGTCGTCGTCGTCGTCGTCGTCGTCGTCGTCGTCGTCGTCGTCGTCTCGGTGGCGAGCGTGGGGGGGGGAAGGAGAAGGAGGGCGGCGGGGCTTCCCAGCAACCCCGCCGCTCTCTGAGAATTCTGTGTGTCTTCGGGGAAGGCCTGGAAAATGTTCAGAAGGCCGGAGGACTTCCGAGCCTTCTGAGAAGGCCCGCCCCCTCTCACTCCGGGACGCGCCGCCGACTTTAGGCGGGCCTGGGATTGTCTCAGGGTTTCTCGGGGCATCTTGGAGGCATGGCGGGCCACGATTTGGGATTGTCAGGTCGTTTCCGGTTGGTCTTGAAACATCGGAGCAGTATAAGAGAGATGTTGGTTCGTGTGGGAACGCGTGGGGGTTGTAGTTCAACGTTGGGGAATCATGGACGCGCGGGCTCTGAACGGGGTGACTTAAGAGAGCTACGTACAGAAACTCGGACCGGGCGATTTACCAGTCTCCTATTGCTCCACATCGTGCAAACGCGACGAGCGGATGGGAGGGACAGGAATTTGAAGAGGAT